AACTGGAAAGTTGCAATGACATGCAACTAAATGGCTCCTAGAATTAAAAAAGACAAGAGCTACGACTGGAAGTTAGAGGCATTAAATATGCCAAAGGTAGAAGATACCTTTGGCACTGAATGACAGTCAATGAATGAGTGTCCAGAGACAAGAAAAGATGCCATCGCTGAAAAAGTAAAGCAAAAGGTACCGAAATTCGGTGATATGCCCCACAGTGTAACGAATAACAATGTATATGGACATAGTAAGGTTACGTTAAGATGCATGCAAAGTGGCCAATCAACATGCCACAAACAATATCCAACACTCGTCCAAAAATCGTGAACCAGAGCCTGGCTGACAGTGTCGCCAGACAGTATAATCTCTTCTGTAGAGAGTAGGCACTATAGTGTCACGACACAGTTTAGCCGTGTAATAGTCAGGGAGCGTCGCTAGTGGAGTATATCTCCAGTTGTGTGTGCAGTAGGAGAAGGGTAGGTGTAGGGTAGAGGCGGCGGCGGCGTCACCCAGCCACCCTACACCCGTATTCAGAGAAAAAACTAGAAAGTTTCCCCATATATATAAAATCCAGAACTCCCCCCAGTATTTAGGGGGCTATGACTGGAGATATAAGATGAGTTAGTGCGACGTATTACCTGTGAGAAAGGTCTCAGAACACCAACATTTTGACACCGTACATAAACACACTCACTCACTCGGGGTCAGCCACAGGATGCGTGAGGTTCGAGCCAGCTCAACCCCTCCCTCGGGGAGAGTAGCCGACAATGTTTATTTAATGATTATTATTATTGCCGAGACAGATGACGGAGAGAAGATGTGAATATAAAATAATTAGATATACCTGTAGTATAGAAAGAGGATAAGTAGTATGGAAGAAGACCAACGAGTCCCAGAAAGGACTGGAGGTATACCACACCGGAAATCTACAGACGTTTCAATAATGTGTGAATTATCGAAGTTCTTCTAGAACCTTCGAGACCTACCTTGAGGTTACCTTGAGGTGCTTCCGGGGCTTAGCGTCCCCGCGGCCCGGTCGTCGACCAGGCCTCCTGGTTGCTGGACTGATCAACCAGGCTGTTGGACGCAGCTGCTCGCAGCCTGACGGATGAGTCACAGCCTGGTTGATCAGGTATCCTTTGGAGGTGCTTATCCAGTTCTCTCTTGAACACTGTGAGGGGTCGGCCAGTTATGTCCCTTATGTGTAGTGGAAGCGTGTGGAACAGTCTCGGACCTCTGATGTTGATAGAGTTCTCTCTCAGAGTACCTGTTGCACCTCTGCTTTTCAACGGGGGTATTCTGCACATCCTGCCATGTCTTCTGGTCTCATGTGATGTTATTTCTGTGTGCAGGTTTGGGACCAGCCCCTCTACTATTTTCCACGTGTAAATTATTATGTATCTCTCCCGCTTGTGCTCAAGGGAGTACAGATTTAGGCTCTTTAGTCGGTCCCAGTAATTTAGATGTTTTACTGAGTGGATTCTAGCAGTAAAGGATCTCTGCACGCTCTCCAGGTCAGCAATTTCTCCAGCTTTGAAAGGGGCTGTCATTGTGCAGCAGTACTCCACTCTAGAGAGCACAAGCGTCTTGAAAAGTATCATCGGTATAGCATCTCTAGTGTGAAAAGTTCTTGTTATCCAACCTGTCATTTTTCTTGCAGTTGTGACGGCTACTTTATTGTGTTCTTTAAAGGTAAGGTCTTCCGACATGAGTACACCCAGATCCTTTACATTGCCTTTTCGTTCTATGTTATGATTTGCCTGAGTTTTGTATGTGGTTTCTGGTTTTTATATTTTCAATTTTTCCGTAGCGCATGAGCTGGAACTTATCCTCGTTAAACACCATATTATTTTCTGTAGCCCATAGAAAGACCTGATCTACATCTGATTGGAGGTTTGCCGTGTCCTCTATGTTGCCAACTCATGAAAATCCTAGTGTCATCTGCAAACGATGATACATTGCTATAGGTTGTTACCTATAGACCCTCGATAATCAAGCACAAAATCATAGAGGCACATATGGGCCCATTGGCCTATATGACCACGAGTCATGCAGGATCCTGATACGATTCCTACACGTGTGTGACATGACGTAGAAGAATACATGTCCCAAAGAAGAATGTTAAAATTACCCAGAGGAAGGATGGAACCGACGGACCTGAAGGGACACACAACCGAACCCAGGAAGGGACCAAAACCAACTCGTACGTAAGGGGGGGGGCGGGAAGAAAAACCCCACTCCATGTAACAGTAAGCCCCATTCAAAGGGTAGTAAAATCTAGGTGCAGTCCAATAGGGCCCAAGGCCCCCCCCCCCCCCCCCCCCAGTCAGCCTTCTTCCCCCACCAACCGCAGGAACCTCTATACCAAGACCCAGGGCCGAATCATCCTCTAAAGTCCCGGCCTCAAAAGCCAGGACAGTCAAAACACCAAGGAAGGGGTGCCCAATGGTCAGAGCCATACGCAAAGGCTGGAGGAACCGACTCAAATGCCTCACCACCTCGGAATGGGCAACCCTCAAAACTGACCAAGTCTCAGAAACTTCTAAATCCATCCCCGATCCCGAAGCCCACAGATGCTCTGGTGCCGGAAGCAAAAAGGGGGGGGGGGTGAACCAGAATGAACCACAGCAGGGGAAGAACGAGGGGGGGGTGCGGACTGAACCAAGGCCGAAATGACCAACACCCCAAAGCGAAGCGAGGCGGCATCGGGCGGGAGCAATCAACCTAGCACGTCGCAGCAACCTAAATCAAGCATGTAATCATGCATGAAGTGAGTCACAAACAAGCAACAATGCTCGCAGGACTCCGATTCGAAGGTGTCACCAACCCAACAGGCAGCAGGACAGAGGCAAAAACAATGAGCATCGCCCTGAAACAAGGGAACAGAGCAACCCTCAAACTCACACAAGGTGAGAGGGGACCATGGGGTCGCATCCGTTGGACTCCGTGTCCTCGCAGGGTTTCCCAGGGCCCTTAGACTTATCGCTAAGGGTAAGCCCAGGCAGGGTACTGTTAACCGGCGCCAAAATCTACCAAACAAACTTCTAAAACTGAACGCAAAGGATGTGTCCACTCACGGGGGCTAAGGAGGAGGTACCACCGAACTCAAGACGTCAAGACCCTAAAATAACTGGGGGTAAGGGGAACAAAAGCAGACCCCCCCACCAGGCACAAAAAAAAATTATAAGAAAAACCCCGCAAGAGGACATCGTACCCAGGAAGAACAGCCAGCCGCCGTAAGAGGTGAAAACTAGCTGCGCAGTACCCCGTGCCTCTACCAGTGAAAAAAAACTACCACTTACCCCAAGGTAAACAAGAAAGGAAACCCCCCAACACACTCGGGGACGGTCAATCACGGAGCAGCAAAAGACCAACAGAAGTGGATCCCAAGGTGACTTGAAGAGAACCTTAAGCCCCAAGGGCGGTACTTACAGGGCACTCAGGAAAGGAAACCCTAAGCACATGCAGCCCGAGTACCTGAGAATATTACTCCCAGCTCGCACGCCACTGTAAGAGCAGTACTGGACACAAGATACAGCACAACATGAGAGAATCTGGAGCTGGAACCACACGACCGAGCCACAATCACATCAACCGAGAACTAACAGGCGGATGGCCAGTGTGATGAGTCTGGGGCTCCCCTTTCCCCCTCCCGGGAGGGGGGTGCTGCGCAGACAAGCGGAAAGCACACACAGCAAGTGTGACATCATGCTCGTTTGCTCGTTTTTCAATTGGGAGTTCTGTTTACTTGTTAGTTTTCTGTAGTATTTTTAACTAGATTAGGGGTTTGTTTTGGGGCGCCTACCTTTCTGGGTGCCCGGCCCGGTTGATGGCAGACATAGAATGCTCCACACACATGTGCAATTCTATAGGCCATTGCTCCTCGTGCCTCACCGAGGGGGGCCAGGTTCTGGCTCGTGGTCGCCGGTAGGCCTAGAACTCCATTCACACTGACTGATGCCAAAGTCTAATAATATACATATCAGCCTGGATAGCTCCGGGGAGCCGAAGGGGCTCC